TTTTGCGACCTTAGGCAGCGTGATGGATTGTAGCATGATAGAAGACTAGTTAGGTACGCAGGAGCTAACCCATTAAGGGCCTTATAGGCAAGTAATAATATTTTGTAACTGATACGGAACTTAATATGTAGCCAGTGCAGAGACTGTAAAATTGGGGTAATATGATCATATTTTCTTGACCTGGTAAGGACTCTAGCTGCTGCATTTTGGACTACCTGTAGCTTGTTTATTGAAGATGCAGGACAACCACCAAGCAGTGCATTACAATAGTCCCGTCTAGAGGTTATGAATGCATGAACTAGCTTTTCTGCATCAGAAACAGGTAACATGTTTCGTAACTTGGCAATGCTTCTTAGTTGCTATCTAATATAACACCCAGATTTTTGACTGTAGAGGAAGTAACAGTACATCCGTCTAGTTGCAAATTGTACTCCAAGTGATTCTGTGTACTGTCTTTTGGTCCAATAAGTAATATCTCTGTCTTATCTGAATTTAATAGGAGAGTGATATATATGAAATGGAGGTGATTTGCATGTTATTTCCAATGATTACACCAAGCTGCTACATCATAATGCTTTACACAGTTTATGCCTTCTCTTAACGATCTAAGCTTAAGCCTGTGTTTGTGTTGCAGTACCAATGACAGGATTCACTCAGCGTGCCACCATCGACCCAGAGCTCAATGAGATCCACGTTCTATCAGGACTCAGCAAAGACAAAGACAAACGCGAGGAGAATGTACGCAACTCCTTCTGGATCTACGACATTGCACGCAACAACTGGTGCGTGAGTTCTTGGACACACTATTCATCTGTACAGCACTGCACATTGAATGCTAATGAGTATGCTTGACCTGTGTTTATATGCTGTGGCCCAGAGGACTGCCTGCATCGGTAATCCACAGAGCGCCTTCAGGCACTTGCCATACACTGCTGGAAAAGAAGGAAATCTTCCGTTATGATGAAAAAATATGCTCTTTCCTTCCTGGACTGTATGTTCTCTTTTCAGTGCATTGAACATACATTGCAGAGCCAACGATGAGCGTAAATGCATCATACAAAACCCCCTTATATAAATTGTTCTCAGCTTGCACACGCATTCACATATATTGAATAAAGCCAGAGCGAAAGTTGTATTGACCTTCAGAAAGGGAGTTGGTGACCATCAAACAGGAACAGAATGTTCTCTGCTTGCATGTGGTCTGTCTGTGTGTGTGTGTGTGTGTGTGTGTGTGTGTGTGTGTGTGTGTATTAAATGTGCTTTGCACTTAAACTGGGGGAGAAAACCCTTTGTTCTGTACGCTAATTGAAGCAGTTGGCTTATAGCTTCTGAAAAATCAGTCTTTCAGTGTTTCCTTTGGATCTGGTGTACTGGTTTCTGTCATTTTGTTTATTTGACTTGATTTGGGTGGGTGTGTGTGTGTGTACACTTTTCTAGGACAGTATGCACAGTTTAGTATGAAAGACTAAGTCTGTGTGTTTGTCTGCAGGTCATGTGTTTATAAGAATGACCAGGCGGTGAAAGAAAACCCCACTAAGGCCCTACAGGAAGAGGAACCTTGTCCTCGTTTTGCTCATCAGCTTGTCTATGACGAGTTGCACAAGGTAATGTAGATCATTTCACTTCCACACCCATTGTCAATATGAATTGAATGTTTATGAACAGTGTGGTGGTGTGCTTTAGGATTGGCTGATTAGAAATCTGACCCGATAACCCAAAGTTTGTAGGAGTCAACCCACACTTACATCAAGGAAGTCAACATGAAATTAAAATATTTATTTCTTTATTTCTTAAAGGGGTCATATGATGCTTTTTTTAAAGATCATTATTTTGTGTATTTGGTGTAACAGAATATGCTTTAATGCTTTAATGTTCAAAAAACACATTATTTTTCAAATACTGTACATTATTGTAGGTCCTATATGCCCCGCCTCTCTCAAACGCTTCTTTTCTACAAAGTCCCTCCTTCCGACAAGCGCAGTCTGCTCTGATTGGCCAGCTGACCCAGTGCATTGTGATTGGCCGAACACCGCAAGCACTCGTCGGAAATGTAACGCCCCTTACCATAATCGCGAGCTTCATCTTTCAAAATAAATGTAAAGACAGAGCCCGAAAGGGGAACAGAGTCGCGTGACAGACACAGTGATGAAGCTGGTATGTGTTTGCA